CTTCTGGGTTCGATTTATCGCGTCCAGACAAGACGCGATAAATCGAACCCAGAAGTTCGATTTCCAGCCGCCGAACCAGCGCGTAAGTATAGACAAGCCCTTAGGCTTGCTCTCTTCCTCCCTCTCTTCCTGCTTCTAGTAATTATGGGTCACGCATGGTCCACTCCTAGGATGACCTGTGGCTTAATTTTTTCCTTCCAGATCAGACTGGGGGAGAATGGGAATCCTTGTCAAGAGTCAGGAGGCTAATTACAAGTTTTTTTTCTTTAAAACGTTTTAAATGTTTAGGTTATTCACCTTGATGAGTATGATCACCAATTAAATATAGTACTAGAATATAGATTTTCATACATTGTTGGATAATTTTTGAAACATCTCTGTAGGCAGACACAGTATTATTCCAGGCATATTACTAATGCAGCAGTTCCCAAGCTTTTTACCTTGCGGCGTGGGGCCAGCAGCCGGGGCCCCAGGTGCACAGCTGGCAGCCAGGGTCCCGGTTGCAGGGCCAGCAGCTGGCGTCGGGGCCAGGAGTGGAACTGGGTGGCCCGGTGGGAGCTGGCTCGGTGGGAGCTGGCCCGGGCTCCAGGTGGACCCCCCCCCTCCGTGCCTCCTTAGGGGGTTGCCCCATAGTTTGGGGACCTCTGTACTAATGCTATGATACACTGTTCATGTGATTACACTCTTGTGGTTTCAAACACAATCTTCTTTGTTAAATGTTGACCCTAATTTGGCCCACACAATCCCCCATCCTATAAATGTGACCTATATTCTTGATTCCTAGATGGTCTGAAGTAATTAGGATGAAATTCAATAAAGACAAATGCAAAATACTCCATTTAGGGAGGAACAATCAGTTGCACACATACAAAATGGGAAATGACTGCCTAGGAAGGAGTACTACAGAAAGGGATCTGGGGGTCATAGTAGACCATAAGCTAAATATGAGTCAACAGTGTAACACTGTTGCATAAAAACCAAACATAATTCTGGGATGTATTAGCAGGAGTGTTGTAAGCAAGACACGAGAAGTAATTCTTTCACTGTACTCCACGCTGATTAGGCCTCAGCTAGAGTATTGTGTCCAGTTCTGGGCGCCACATTTCAGGAATGATGTGGACAAACTGGAGAAAGTCCAGAGAAGAGCAACAAAAAAGATTAAAGGTCTAGAAAACATAACCTATGAGGGAAGACTGAAAAAAATGGGCTTGTTTAGTTTGGAAAAGAGAAGACTAAGAGGGGACACGATAACAGTTTTCAAGTACATAAAAGGTTGTTACAAGGAGGAGGGAGAAAAATTGTTCTTCTTAACCTCTGAGGATAGTACAAGAAGCAATGGGCTTAAATTGCAGCAAGGGAGGTTTAGGTTGGACATTAGGAAAAACTTCCTAACTGTCAAGGTGGTTAAGCACTGGAATAAATTGCCTAGGGAGGTTGTGGAATCTCCATCGTTGGACATTTTAAAGAACAGGTTAGACAAACACCTGTCAGGAATGGTCTAGATCAGAGGTTCTCAAACTGTGGTCTGTGGACCACCAGTGGTCCAAGAGCTCCATTCAGGTGGTCCGCGGATAGTTCCCTCTAAGGTGCGCGCCTGGGTGGCCACACATGAGAGAATGAAGGGCCACCCACCTAATTAGTGGAGCCATGCAGGCTTGGCTCCACTAATTAGGTGCCTGGACCCTGGAGAAGACGCACACGTAAGGTGAGGTGCTGGACTTGGGGGGAATAGGGGGTAGGTGGGAGGGGGCAGTGGGGTGAGAAGAGGGGGTGGGGGAATTCGGGACGTGCAGGGCTGCGGCAGCCAGAGAAAGAGGCGACTTTCCCCAGCTCCAGGGCTGTGGCTGCCGGGGAGAGACCTTCCCCCTCTTTTCCAGTCCCAGCTCGGGTGCTGATGCGGTGTGGGAGAGAGGGCACATCTGTCGCATTAGAAAGGTAAGACTACTGATATGAAAATACGAGTTGTGTGCTTTTATTTGTAGCACAAAAAAACGTTTATTATTAAGGGGTTTTTTTAGATAGCAGTTTTATCCAAAGCGCTTTATAATAGTTAGCTAATGGTACAAACATTTGGAAAGATCATTAAGTGATCCGCTGAGACCCTCAGCAATTTTCAAGTGATCCACGAAAAAAAAAGTTTGAGAACCATTGGTCTAGATAATACTTAGTCCTGTCATGAGTGCAGGGGACTGGACTAGATGACCTCCCGAGGTCCCTTCCAGTCCTATGATTCTATGTATGGCCTTGCATTTAGCTATATTAAAACACATGATGTTCAAATATGCCCAGCTTATTATTTGTTTTACACTGCTCTGTAGAACTGACCTGTCTTTATGATTGTTAACAACTCTGCCAATTTTTGTGTCACCTGAAAACTTTCAGCAGTGATTTTATATTTTCTTGCAGATCATTGATACTGAATAGCATTGGATCAAGATCTGATCCCTGTGGGATTTGTTGTGTTAATTTTGATGGAATTAAATGAATTCAGAGAGTCACAGGGATCTACTTCATCCTTTCACTGTACAACTCTAAACATTTAAACATGGTTCCAGTTTTTGAGTACAGAGACCTCAGCCTGCTTACAATGGCAAACACACCACTAAACATCTTATTAATCTTTTATTAAAATTACAAAAAAAAAGGAAAAGCAGTTAAAGCATTTGAAATGTAAAGTAATAAGTAAGGCTTTTATCTGAAGAATGGTCCTTGTTCCCTTTACCTTTAGATGTACAGAGTTTTTATAAAGAAAAAAACCCCAGTCTGACAGTCTTTTAGAGGACATTAAAGACAGTAAAAATGTCCTTTTGGGGGAAAGACACAACAAGATGAACACACACAAAAGGAGAGAAAAGGACTGCAAAGACACAAAATGCAGCTTCTGTCTCTGGCGCTGATTTTTGCACTTGCAACCTTTCAGCTGAAGAAACACAGGCACAGCACATTGTCTTATCAGCCACTCCAAGGCCTAGAAAACTCATATCAGAATCGGGCTGTTTAAGATATTGCTTTCATTGCCTCTCTGATTACTGGCTCACAGCAATGTTGCAAAAGATGCAGTCTTGGCCAGATCAGCTAAGTTTTTATTAACAGAAAGCAAAAAGAGAGGAAAGAGAAGAAATAAGGTGTGGGAAGGAAAAGGACACATGCGATAGGAATCACAGCAGGAACCCAAATCTCACATTTCAGGTGATTTAGCTGGGGCCAGTGAAGAGGGTGATATCATGTGGGTTTCTCTCTGGCCCAGTGTGGGCAGGACATCTCTCAGGATCAGAAGGATGAAAGTCCAATAGTGTCAGAGTGGCTCCTGGAGTTCCAAGAGATAGTGGTGGGAGCCATGGTGATGAAGATTGCTCCTTTCGGTCCACCCAGACTCCAAAAATTTTGATCCATGAAGTCTTATTTTTAAGGACTGCAAAAGGGAATGATGGGGGAAATAGTTCATCCCCTCATTATTTGGTCCAGCAATTAGACCTAATTTCTGACACTTCAGTTTTGCTTCGTTAGCTTCCAATTCCATTCTCCTCTTGTTTACCAGTCCTGATCTTAACACCATCCTTGGGTGGTATCAGTAGACTCTTGTTTTGACTAATTCAGTTTTTCTGTCTCCTTTTTGTACCTTTTCCCATACAGTTTTATATAACACTCTGACTTTTAATTTTGTTACTTTGGACAATTTAGAGTACTGGCCTCTCCCTAAGAGGCCCCACTGTAATGCCCCCATTGGATAATGATCCCCCATTTGTAATTGTGTTTTGTGATGGGTCCGTTAGCCAGTTTTTAATCCATTTACCATGTGCTACATTGATTTTATATAATGCTACATTTTTACTCAGAATATCGTACGTCAGATGCCTTACTGAAGTCTATTATGTCAACACAGTTACTTTTGTCAAACTTGTGATTTAATTTTAAAAAGATTTGAAATTTTTTGAGAGGACCTATTTTTTATAAAGCTATGTTGATTTGCATTAGTTTGCTGCTG